CGCCGCAGTTAGTGTGGTAGTTAAGTACTTATTAGTACGTAGTAGAGTATACTACGTAGTTAGTGTGTAGTGTGTGTGTGTGTGTGTGTGTGTGTGTGTGTGTGTGTGTGTGTGTGTGTCTGTGTGTGTGTGTGTGTGTGTGTGTATGCATGTATGTGCGCGCGCGTGTGTGTGTGGGTGTGTGCGCGTGTGTGTGGGTGTGCGCGCGCGCGCGCGTGTGTGTGTGTGTGTGTGTGTGTGTGTGTGTATGCATTTGTGAAGAATACCACAAATGTAATGTATATACCTGGCTCGCAAATATATCCATCAATTTTTTGACGTACAACGCCACGATACGCAATCGCGTTTACACGTTTGCACCGGATGGAAAATCTGCTCAATTACATGCGAAAAATTACAAATTGTTACATAAATATTACCGCTACGTGTATATCTAAATCATTACACATATCTTTTGTGTACTTACTTCTAGTTTCAGCGTATGATTCATCGATCAGTGGTATGAAAGGATTTGCCGTAAAACCGTGGAAGTATTTCGCTTCCCAGGTTTTGATTCCGTTCACCGTTATGTGGTTCGCGTGCAGATGCTTCTGCACTGATCTGGCGACGAGGGTGAAATATTCGTTCGCACTATGCAGAATGTACACACTGTTCCAGTTGAACTGCTTTAATACTGACGTAACGGCATCAGAGGCTTGCGGTCGCGTTCTTGCGAATGTTGGAAACCGGCCCTTGTCAGATACTTCCGGCTCCAAGCAAAACTAGGAAGCGAGAAAGAGAGATCAAAATATTAACGAAATTTAAATTAATAACAAAACTTAACAAATTTATAAATATAACAATTTAATATTAATCAAATAAAACGTTACTGTATCTTTTATTCATGAAGAAGGTTAAACGTGTTACTAAAATTAAACGTGCTCGTGGATAGTAAAAGCGTTTCACGCTTTTAAGTATAATAAACACATGCAGATATCAATAGGGTCCAGTCGCACAGGTACACGTGGCTGTGCGTTTGTAAAATTCAAGAGAGGATGATATAATAATAATGATCTAGTTATAGACAAGCTAGGGCGTCACACCTAGTATTCACATACTCTCCGTACAGGGAAACTATTGTATATATATATATATATATATATATATATATATATATATATCGATGAAACGCGGAAAAGGAGTCAATCGTGCAAACTTTTATTGTGTAATTCCGTATTGGTTCGTGGTAACTATTAATAAAGTGAAAAATCAACTAATCGACGTCCAACTGTTTGTGAAATAATTGAATAAATATGCCAACTATGCACATAACCGGTATATCAATATTCGACACGTAAGAGGCTCTTGTGTAGAATAAACAGTTAAACCTGAACCTAAGTTAAACCTGAACGTCGAACCGAAACATGAGTTGCACCACAGACGAATGCTACTACGGTAAACTGATTTCCTTATTAAGCTGTAAACATACACAGGTGAAACCAGACCTACGGGTCGATTCAGCATGTCTACCACCGTACGTTGTTAGTGGATTACCCATCAGTCTGCTTGCTAGCCCACGCCACTCACTTATGATGCTATCCAGTGCGCTATAACTTATAGCTGTCAACTTTCTCGCAATAATGTCAGTTGTCACTAACGGATTTGAATCACGTTTCAGACATGATCGCATATAACCTTTTATTGGGTAATGCTGTGTTTCTAATCGCGTTAGAGTAAAACTTTTTGGAAACGTTAATGTCAAATCCAGGATGGATTCGGTACCGCTTGGACCAGGATGGATTCGGCTTATCCGCGCAAGTTCTGACGGCTAATAAGTGGCGAGGATTCCGTCTGAGACGGAGAGCATAAAGGATATAATTGTGCACCTTTTGACAAAAGTATGAAAATTGAAACGTATAGGTAGTTTAAGATATGTACATTCATATGAGATCGGGTACCCATCTCCATCGACATGGTGTCTGGGCGCCATCTTGAATTCTAAAATGGCCGTTATCAAAATCGATTATCCTTCATCTTCAGCTAACTTTATTTCGGTGTCTAAACCAATATTATCGGGGTTAAGGAGCTCGATCATTGCAATCGAAATCATTATCGCTCGGTGTTCGCCATCTTCAATTTCAAAATGGCCACATTCAAATCCATTATTCAATTCAATTCAATCACTTTTTTTACACTTGACAATATTACATTTTAAAGGTATTATATTGGTTCAACAAATTAGTTAACAAAGCTGATAAATTTAAAGAAATGAAACTAAAGAAAAATAAAGAGAAGTGATGGAGGCCGAAAAAATTATTCGAATGACATTATTTATCATATATTTCAGCTTTTTCCATCATAGAAAAGATTCATGATTTGTGTAAACCCATTAAAAAATATGGTCCCAATCACTGTTCATACTTTTCAGATGCCACTACTACATGCTCGCTTTCAGTTACATATAGCTCAGTGTACGGAAGACTTGATGAACGACATCCATTTGGCATTTACAGCGTTTCTTGCAACCACAATGCACCAACTCATAGCATATAACACTAAAGCTGACCCACACCTCATCAATTTCCAGAGCGTGAAAATAGCCTACAGCCAGGACAGCCACATCAGTATTTACTGTCTGAATAGCCCTTTATCTATTTTACACAATGTGCTACATGTAGTAATATCTGTAGGTCTGCCTCCTCATGTGTGCATGGCTGAAGGCAGGCGAGGTGATCACTCAGGGCAATCTGATCTGCGTTCACGACTGTTTGATTTTGTGTGCTGATGAGTGCGTTTCGACCAGCGTCGGTTGACCTTACACTTTTTGACAAATAATGAGACAGCTCTTGTTTGTTCTTTTGAAGAAACCTGTCCGATTTGCTGGAACAGAAAGCTCCTGGCAGAACTCTTTGCCTCTGCGTGATTCCGCCATGCATTCTGCGTTATCTTGTTGATTGCTTGTGGCTATCGGCAATATAGGCCTACCTATCCCATACAATGTCAACTCTACTGACAGTATCCAGTTGAGTGGTGATGTATGAAATGAATACTTAATTGCTGGGCATATTTCTCAAATGTCCGACTGCCCCCTGGTCTCAGCTTTTGTTCCTTGTCATCATCGCTCATATTAGAAAGGGATGGAGGACATGCCTGATTCTCATGTTCAAAGGTATTGTCAGTGTTTCCTTGTCTGGCCTAGCATGTAGCGTGGAGTCTTGCCAAAAGACTACAGCTTGTTTTCAGTGATGCAAATTGCGCCTTACTTTTTTATTTTTGCTGTAGAGAAGGTGTACTGAAAAGTGAAACAATTTATTTCTCACAATGTTACTGAGAGGTATATATGTTTAATATGTTGTTCAGTCGTTTTCCCCAAGTCTTCAACAGCTAAATCTTTATTTATCACAACCTTTGTGTCCAAAGTCAGCTGGTCTCCTGAGGAGGACATACAACTTGTTCCCCCATGGTCCCGGTCTCAAACAGTATTAGCCAAATCAGTGGAGATGCTCATTAACCTGCCATCATGTGATCTTGTCAAACGTGAATGACTTGGATTACTGAGTAGTTTCAGCATGTTGGTCATCTTTAATTCAGCCATCTAGGGATGCTGCTTATGATAGAAATGGATTCCCTGACCCCAATAATGTTGGTTTAGACACCAAGATGGATAATGGATTTTAATGGCGGCCATTTTAAAATTCAAGATGGCGGCCCGATACCATTTCGATGGAGATGGGTACCCGATCTCATACGAATGTACATATCTTAAACTACCTGTGTGCCTATTTTCATGTTTTTGTCAAAAAGTGCACAATTCATCTGAGTTATGGCTCTTAGCTCCTGTAGTATTCAATTCTGCCAGCCTAAACAACAAAACTCAAATCAACAATTGTACAGAATGTTTACGCAAGAAATTCTGTTACCAATGATCATGATTAATAGAACTACTAGAGATTCGTGTATATTATCCTAATGCTGGTCAAGTCTGTTAAGGCTTCAACGAGGGCACACCACATACAGGCAATATTAGTTGACCAGCGAGTCAATGCGCTCATTAACACAGGAAAGCTGTTGCTGCATGTATACCGCCTACTATAGGTTTGTATAATATTTTGCCGGCTTCAGAGGAATCATTCCCGGTATTGCATACTCGCCGAGCCCAAAGCTGCATACAAGTATTAATAAAGGTCGACGTTTTTAATTAATGTGTATATCAACAGACGCATATTAAAAGAACGCTTCTTAATATAGTATTTATTAATGCTCATATGCGCAAAATATGGACGCCCTTTGTGCATGATATAAGTGCCTCCATAAGATCCGTGCGCCGGATACTAAAATACTACTGAATTATGAACGAGCTTATTTAGCAATGTTCGCGAAACGTCTGCGACCATTATGGTCACAGATTCTTTCAATATACTGCCAGATTGCGCCTATGTGTCGGATACTCTAATTAGATTGACCAATAGTAATTGGCCAACTCCCATGTGAATACAGATATCTGAATATAAGCTCTGTCAAGCCCTATCCCCTATTAAGCACACGCATCATGGCCGGAAATATGTAAGCTCGAGCGATCGAGTAAGAATAAATATCATCTAACGATTGAAAGCATACAACGCAAGACACGGGGAATGCTAATGTTGTATCGTAGGGCTGCGGGCTAATTAGGGCTTTGCGACTAGTTGTCTAAACTTCTAACCCTAGCAAGTTATTGTTGTTATTGTAATGTAACCCACCGCGCGCATCCTAACCCCATAGACCCAGACGGTGATTGGCCGAGGGTCGGATGGAAATGTCGCCGGGCGGTTTTCGGAAACATATAAATAGATACGGACAAAAGTTACCTACCCAGGAGACGTACGTGAGAAAGTGCAGAGACGAGCAGCGCGCTTCGTAACGGGAAATTACCAGCAAACTAAGAGTGTTACACAAATGATCGCAGACCTACAATGGCCCTCCTTTCAGGAACGCAGGTTTGTCAACCGGCAGACCCTATTCTGGAAAATAATCAACGGACAGGCAGCAGTCGACATTCCATCTTTCCTCACCAAAAGCACCAGCATATGCCGCGGCACACACCGGCTTACATACAACAACATCAGAACCCGGACAGATGGGTACAGGTTCAGCTTCTTTTCTAGAACAATCAGAAGCTGGAATCTGCTACCGGGGTCACTACTCACTAGTCCAACAGCACAGCAATTCACTGGGTCCCTCTGGCAAAACATTGAGTCAGGCAGCATCGTTGTTAAGCCACCTCGAGGAAGTGAAACGCATCTCCGGCTGGGCAACTACAACAGCTCGCAACAGCCTATTGCCGTATGCTAGTCGCACCCAGTAATGAGTGCCTGGCCCAGAGAAGCCTCGATCTCTGGAACACATTACTGCCTACATTTAAAAAATATTCCATGCAAATCTCTCACGTGTACCTGGAGTTTTCGCGCACTCCTTGGACGCTTATTCCTTACGGACTGTCCAGTATAGAAGTAGAAGTAGAAGAAGTGAGTACGGACTTTCCTATCAAGATGTAGAGGACGAAGACGAGACACAGGGCCTAGGCTTGAGTGCCTAGGTCGCCGTAGTGTATATATATATATTTGTATCGTGTTTACTAATGAAGTCAGTCTTCAACAACAAATTCTGCGACTGGATCGTCTTTACTCGTTGCTACCTTTTGCTAACTCGACGCTGCTACGATGCCGGAGCGGATATCAACAACTTTACAACTCTACGATTCTACGATGCCGGAGCGGAGAAAACAACCCAACCTTTTCACAGTAAAATAATTGGTAAAGGATGCAAAGATCTGCATTCGCTACGCTGATCCCCCAGATGATGAAGAAAGAGAGACAGAGAAGAAGAGCGAGGGAGGAAGAAAATGGAGAAGCAGCCATCTCCGGACCCGACGCTCTCCCACCCGATAAAGCGGCAGCCATGTCGTCATGATGTCCTCCAAGCTCGACAGCCTCCAGAGCCCGCGCAGAGCAAGGTCGAGGAGCAGAAGAAGAAGAAGACTAACACGGCGACGATACCTAGGGTAGCTACATCTTAATCATTGTATACATAGCCACAAATTCGGAAATAATTTATTAACAGTAAAATAGCTCGCGAATTACCGAGCAGCGCGCGAAATTTCGTAGTTATAGCTAGCGTGGTATTCGAATTTCATTCTACGGCGTGACGGTGACTCAACGCGTCGAAAGAAGAGACGTATGATATAGCCTAGCGATGAGAAAGGTGAGACGCCTAGCCGCTTCTAAAGTATGACCTCGAATGTTGCAATTTAGGGAAGCCGCATTCGGCGTGTTATTATCCTTGCCAGCAGAGGCATATTACGGTACAAACTCACCATAGTGCGTAATGAAGATATTTAATTAAAGATGACGAACGAGCTAAAACAGCTCCGCCCGGGAATGGGTACGTCCGATTTCGTCACGCGTCGCGTAATTTTTGAGTCACGGAGGAGCGGAGATCAACAAATTTACAACTCTACGATTCTACGATGCCGAGCGGAGAAAACAACCCAACCTTTTCACAGTACAATACTAACGGAACGCGACTACTTTTCGAAACCATTAAACGCATTAGAAACATTTGTACGGGTACGACACAGACGAAATCTATCCAAGTCAACTGGGATCAATTAATATAACCACTCTGCTATAGTCATTAGTATTGACTGTTTCACTAGGACCAAGCATCTCTTCTGATATGAAATAAGTGACATAGGGAATGTGGCGGACCACGCAAACTGGTGTTGACGGTTAAGTCTACGCTGTAATTAAGCCTTTCAAGAGCAAATTATTTATTTATTCAGCCTGAGATTTTGATACCCAGGTTCAGTCCCACGCGGCTGGAGGGCGTCGATGAGATAAATCTACCACGACCTCTATCTGTTCTGTATTTCTATGGGTTAGGTGCAGAAGGGTGGGGGTGATCATCGAATCGCATAAGTACCGTTGTGCTTATAGTACGAGATTAAGTAGCAATCTACGGTAAAACGTGCACTGCTTGTTTGCTTATATCACGTTTTGAGTCAAAATAGTTCAGCGATGATCTATATTATGATCTGCATCCTCTAACTTAATCCATGCATGGCGCCAGGCAGCAAAAATCTCATAAAATTAGAGCGGGGTAGTCCTCGGTAAAGGAGTAAAACCGATTTGTAACATGTCCACAAACAAGTTACGCAAACAAGCCAAGGTGCCATCTTCCCATGTGATCCTATTGCCCTGCATTATATTTGTAGCTAGTGATTGTTATTAAACCGAAAGTTGCTCTTAGTGTGAGTTCGGCCAGGCATGGGCATGTCAGAAAATATGTGGAAGGTTTTGGTTACAGCTAGTGGTCTATGTTTGTCTAGAGCTTTACGAAGAGCTAAGTGAGCGTCTTTGTGATATGTTTGTGTATAGCGAGCTCACGTCTGGGGTGTACAGTGTAGGGATTTTGTGGCGATGTTGGTTTCATTTAGCATGTTAGAAAGTGTGTGGTATCCTTGGCGTGGGAGGGTATTCTTTAGCCACAGCGCCAAAGTTATCGGTCGAAGAGCGCTAGGAACATTTTCGTGATGCTATTTTAGACGCGAATTTCGCACCACACACATAGAAGTCGTGTAGAAGAACTGTAAGAACTATTATTAGCTGAAAGAATGAGACAAAACTGCGGTTTCCTTTTTTTGCGGACATTTGGTAGGAGGTAGACGTTTTGCGGGCTGCACGCTTGTTTCTTTTTGAGTCGTACAATTTGATTTTGTTGCTAGGAGATCGCAAACCTGTTATAATACGTCGAAGTAGAATTTTATCTATGTCAAAGCTTAGCGTGAGATATGAGGATAATGAAGGGCGTTGTGTTTCACGGTGTGCGTAGATAGTTCACATGGAGTTTTAACGATTTAGCCAGTTTTTGTTGAGCAATACGGGTTTGTTTTTGTGCTACTGCCTTTTATCGGCAGGCCGTGTAGTTCAGACTGTCGAAAAACAAGAAAATTGTCAAACCCGCGCGGTGAGGAGAAGCTCTCTTTTGAGTTATTTTGAAAATCAAGAAAAATTAATCTATAAACTTGAGCTCCACCTCGATAGACATATCAAACCCATAAACTATGCATACCTACTGACACCCATTTGCGATTTCCAGAGCCAAACGAATTATAGTAGGAACGCGTAGGCACTCGGAAATAAATTAATAACGGACAAAAACAGCGAATGCCCGTGTAAACCATTCACTGGACGGCTAATATGCGAAGGCGATAAACTACGAGATTTAATTGCGCGGGAAATGATTGGTGATGGCATTCTAATTGATATTTAGCTTTTTAGCTGACACATGCGTCGCGGTATTATACATATTTGCAGGAATGAATAAAAACACATTATTGTTGAACAAATTGGTACTGTTTAATAAAAACAAGTTGTAGAGATTTAGTTACTCCTGATATTTGTCCAGCGTGTGTTTATAAACGGAGAATAGATTGATGCCATGTCGTTATTGAGCCGGGACCTGAAAGTTGGAAAACGCAGAGCAATCGGTTGTTGACAGAATGCACATTGATCATTCTTGTTATTGTCATTCTTATGAATTGAATTTGTCTTATTGAAGTCATTGTTATTGAAGTGAATTAGTTGTTGATACAAAATATTCCTTCTCATTGTTATTCATTATTCGAATTTTCATACTTATGATTTAAATTGGTGTATGGAATTGAATCTTATTGAAATAAATTGGGTGTTGCTACAAAATGCACATTTTTATTCTTATTCATCATTCTTGTTGTTATTCTTATGAATTAAATCGGTCTTATTGAATTGTTCATTCTTGTGTGAGGTGGGTTATTGGCCTTGGATACGCGATGACTGAAAGTTTTCCACGTGTGATTGTATATGTTTGCAAACAAGAGTGACCCTTACGTGTTTGCGAGTCTCGCTCGTCCACTAGTCAGCAGAGATACGTCGACGCAACGCGTTAGAAAGTATATCGTGATTGGGTTCTAATGTTTGACCACGTTCCGGGTTCATATACTGTTATCGTTAGACAGGAATAATGCATTCGTGCTAGACGCATACACTTTTTTCTCGCATATCATATTCCTCGATTCTATTTTGTTAACCTAAGGCCACATCATATTCATTCGTACCAGCCAATAATTTCCACTAGACCAATTCTAACGGGCAATCTAGCGCGTGCCTTTGAAGTACATTATTGGTTGTCGGATGATTGCAGTCTATAAACATTTATATAGGACAATAGATATAGGCAATAAAAGGATATGTCAATTAATTGCTACATTAATAATTCCAATGATCGGTTAGAATTCGTGCACTATAGCTACTATAAATCCGTTTATATTATTTATTGGCCTTACAACTTGTTACCGAACACTAACGCGTTAGTATCTAGGTTCAGAAGTGCATGCCCATGCGCGCCCGTGTAGACGTATGCGTACGCGCGTGTCTCTTTGCGCGCGTGGACGTGTGCGCATATATATATATATATATATGCATACGTAGTGTGCGTGGTTACGCGCTACATGCTTAGTCGCACTTCTAGACAAATGTCAATCACGAACTTCTGGCGGTTGTAATTAACTAGCTATGATTGCTCAACAGCGCGTTCAACGAGGTTACGCGGAGGTTGCATAGCAACGGTTGCAGCTATTATGATTGAACATTGAAATTTGTATCACCTCGGTGCTCATACGCCGACATTCTTGCTTACTTTCAACTCAAACAAGATTATATCAATTAGCGTTTTCATGGTTTTGTATGAATTCGTGACATAATATGGGTAGGAAGCACTCCGCCGTGTTTGCCCGAGCTAACAAACGCCTACTGCTCAGCATCATACGACGTTCATATACCCGACTCGCCTGACCACCCATTACGTGTGTGAGGAGTCCAAGGGCAGGGTACTACTATCCAAACAAGTAAAAGGATGCGTCATCCCGTTGTGCGGGCGTGTAGGCATTCCATGTGGTAGCCGTGGGCCGCTTTCGACATATAAGGAAGATTTATGACGGATGTGGCCTACATTCAGAGAATTGGGAGGGTAATGGTCCGGCGCTATACGCTGTTGACTGTTCCGCTGTCGCATATCCGCTTCGAGCGAAATGGTAGCCGTGTGCAATGTAAACAATTCGTAGTTGTAGTCAACATTACTACGGCTAGTTACAGAATAGATGCTCAAAATGGCGAATCTCCCTTAGTATTTCATATAATGTAGAACGAGATCAAACCTAAATTAGGATCTCTGTACATATGTCATCATCATCATCATCATCATCATCATCATCATCATCATCATCATCATCATCATCATCATCATCATCGCCATTATGATCACCACCACCACCACCACAGCTCTAACCCTTAATTACGTATAATTAACCATAATCATAACCCTATAATTGGCAATAACAAACAAAAATAAACTTGACCTCGTACGGCATGGATTTGTTCTTTGCACAGCTCACTGTGAAAACCTACACTTACACTTACACTTCTAATTAGTGTAAAAGTACACTTATTAGAAATCAGTGGTCTCGGGCATACAAATATGATATTTATAACACAGCTCGTATACAAATAGTACCTTTGGTCATACTTACATGGGATATCATAGGAATATTGAAGGCTGCTGCTAGATTCGCTTCACTAAAGCACGTCTCCTGCGGGCCGATGTACGCTGAGACATCGTCAGTCCATAGCCTAGCAGTTTGTTTCAAACTGAGCAAACTATCCCCGTGCGTCTCGCCTACGACAAACTCTAAGATGTCGTTTGGCAGAATGTCACGATCTGAGTTGATTTCGCTGACGGCTAGCGAGAGAGCACCACTAATGGACTGACCGGGCTTCGTGTACATCGGGTGTTCGGGTGACGCGTAGTTCCCCGTGATGTAGCCGAGCCTGAAGATTTCGGCATGCGACAAGTCTGCCAGACTCAAGGCCATTACGAACAGCTGCACCATCAGTCGGCATCTGTGCGACGTAGAGAGTGAGCAACACTCTTTCCTCGTGTCCACGCGGTGCATGTTCGAGATGGCGACTAGCTAACCGACAAGGGATGTGCACATCCAATCCGCATACACGCGCGCTAGTACCGGCTTCTGTCAGCGATGTCTTCTTCTCTTTCTCGTCGACGTTGCTCCGCGTGATATCAGTTATATCGTTGCATAGATGTGTCAGTAATATCGTTGTCGTGATCGAGCTGCTAGCGACGGTCTTAGGCAACAGACGTGACTGTCATGACGTTCGGTCGGCTATCGTCTGCCGCACATGAAGCACGTGCACGTGTATATACACAGACGCTCACACCTAGCAATTATCGCGCATGTTGCGACGCTGGTATATCCTAACCGTCCGACACACGCGTCGCTTATATATTCGGACGTGTACGAAAGGTTCCGCCCAATTTGATTGATAACGCGGTCGGCGCGTGCAAGATTCGAGGACTCAGACGCGATGACAGACTGACATGCGTAGAAGCTGCAAACTACTAGTAAGCGGCACGCTGAGGCACTACGTGTATCCGCTAACGTTGTCTCGGCAAAGATGCTAACATGACATCACGTCGCACTGCATGTTCCGCGAGATATCCGGCCAGACTGCAAGTCGGCTGTCCAGCATTATCACGAAAGCAAATATATAGCGTTTGCTAGCTGCGTTACTTGTGTTTGTATACATATCTAAGCACATCACGCGTGCGTAGACGCAATCGGAGAGCGTATCCTTGGCAGCTGGGCATGTGATGGGCCTCTATACTCCCGAGGCCGCTGGAAGTCGCGCGGCACGCGGTAGCAAGTTACACCTACGTCCACATCAACAGACCTCTGTAGTTACGCCCTAGCGCTCAGCCGTCTACTGTAACGAGAGAGAATATGTCGTCCTCGCCCCGCATGCGTCAGAGTTGTCACACGGATGTACGCGGACCTATTTTCGAATCGAATAAGCTGTTCTTGCATAGATGACGTTGCATCAATTAACTAATCGTGTGTGCGGCCGTAGGAGGATGAATGCGGGTTTGCATAGTAACGATGTATGCGTCAGTCAACAGATGCGATGCTACATGGTCACACCGACACCACTATCGCCCCTGCTTCTGCACACAACCCGCACAACCTGCAGCGGCTGCTACTCACGCGGGAAGTCTATAAGCGCTATTCATTTACAACGCGCGATAACATGAGCGACCACAGACCTTCTATCGCGATCTCTATCTCTATCTGCTTCTATGTCTATATCAATATTTATATATCTATATATATCGACTTATGCCTATATCTATATCTATTTGTATGTTATATGTCGTTTATACCCAAGAGATAGAAGGTATTTGTGGACCATTGAACCGATTTGTGTGATTATATATTAACATGACTGTATATCAGTGGTTCTTAACCGTTTTTGAGTCATGGACCCCATTGAGAATCTGGTGAAAGCTACGGACCCCTCCCCAGAAAAATGCACATAAGTACATAAACACAACGTTTTTATGCGCTTGGTTTACGGACTCCCTGAAGCCCATCCACGGACCACAGGTTAAGCTGTGTAAAATAGAAGCCGAGTGTGACGTACTCATCCATTCACGTCGCTGTGAATTCAAGCGGTCGAGAATAGATTCCCTGCAGGAAGCAAACAATGAACATAAATAACTTATTACTGCATGTGATATATGTGAGATGAAAGCACCACAGAACTTAGTGTAGTTATGTATGGGCTTTGTATAAATACGGACCACACTATTATAATAAATTGTATAAAATGATAAAATGATTTTATACACTTATATCCATACAATTGAATTTGATAAAGTTGAGTTACATTATATAAATATATATATATATGTGTGTGTGTGTGTGTGTGTGTGTGTGTGTGTGTGTGTGTGTGTGTGTGTGTGTGTGTGTGTGGTGTGTGTGTGTGTGTGTGTGTGTGTGTGTGTGTGTGTGTGTGTGTGTGTGTGTGTGTGTGTGTGTGTGTGTGTGTGTGTGTGTGTCTGTGTGTGTCTGTTCAATGCAATGGTATGAGAAATGAATGACACGCGTGCGTCCATTCGACAGCAGCAACAGCAGCAGCAGCAGCAGCAGCAGCAGCAGCAGTAGTAGTAGTAGTAATAGTAGTAGTAGTAGTAGTAGTAGTAGTAGTAGTAATAGTAGTTATTTTACATGCTTTTACCGATCAAAGTAAACTCAGACTGCAGATTAATGTTGACAGCTGATAAATCTATATTATAAGAGAGGAGACGCCGATTTTCTAACGCGGTAATTTTCGCCGCGGTGAGCATTAAGCCCACGCCACCGATCTCAGTGTATAGCCCGTGTGTCGGACACCAACATGGGCTTATCCATATTTGTAGATATAATGACGATAAATAGGCCTTAATACGGGCGATAATTTTAGCAGTGGGGTGATGTCAGAAAGGTAGAACAGCCGAATTCCCGCGAATGTAGCCATCTAGCGGACAAAAGCCAAAACTTTGTTAATACCAGGTTAAATTATGCGAAATTTATACTTTTTTTTATTATGCACTCAGTTGTCAGTTGAGTCTCAAAAGCAGCACAACACACACTTTTAGTGGTTCATTTTCGTTCATTTGTATTTTTAAAATTGTAATTTGGCTGTGTATACATTCGGATATAATGTATAACATCGGATTTAATGTATGAATTAAGTTTCAGGGTCTATTCATCTTTTTGATAATGTCATCTATGAAGACTTCACTGGTGCAGAACTCTGCCAAATTGACTAATTTGGTTCAAATGAGGTGATATCCATACGTTTGGTGAAATATTTAATTTTTTAAATCACTGTATCAAATAAGTATTTTACGATGAAAGTGACCCTGAACTGATACCGTGCTATATTGACGGGTTTAGTTGATTGACTTATGTATTTAGTTTAATTTAGTTTTCATGTAATATTTTGATGTAAAGCGAATCCCAATGATAAGAGAGACACGTGACAGATGTCACCAATTGTGTATTTAAATAGCGAGACGAGGCTTGCAAAGCCAGAGAGGCATATATTCATAATAACTTGGCGCAATTTCATAACAATGTTGTATATACAGAAGCTTTGACTACACAGAATCATAGAATCGTTCTAACTATTTTTGTCAGAATAATGCTTACTGTTTGTTTCTCTGTTACGATTCTATCCTTAGAACTAAGTAAAAAAGTAAGAAAATATTTTAGAATTAAGTAAGTGTATGTGGCTGAATTTGCTCTTAAAATTTGTTCCTACGCGTTTTTCCCCGAGCAACGCCGGGTACCAGGCTAGTATGTAATAAGCCTTGTCACACGCAATAAATGCTCCCATTCATTTTCCTCCAAAGGCCCCACACAGAATTAACGTGTTGCTGGTGTATGATCCGTTATTACTACGTTAGGACTATAGGCCTAATTATATTAATTAACAGAAGCTTTATGATTATGAATGATGACCGTGTAATGCCGGTTGACTAGTTGAAAAGATTGCCCGGGATTATGATATAGTCATGCACCCGCACACGCACACGCACACGCGCGCACACACACGAACACGCACACGTGCATGCCTGCACGCATGCACGCACACATGTACATATACTCATGTATACACACTACGCACAAACATACCACGCACATCCATGCCTACTGACGCACGCAAGCACGCGCATTCATCATCGCATGAGCTCACACACACACACACACACACACACACACACACACACACACACACACACACACACACACACACACACACACCACACACGACACACGACGACACACACACGACGTACACAAACGTCGCGACGTTACGACAACACGACAC